CTTTGTAAATAGGGAGGGATGGAGATGTTGAAGGGAGGGCAGGGGAATGGGGAAAAAATAAGAACCAAGAGAGATCATGTAAAGGTGCAAATTTCCAATGATGAATGTCATTATATTGTATACCTAAAATGTACCAATTAATTAATTAGGGAAAACAAAAAACAAAGAAAAACAAAACAATACAAAAGTAAATCAAAAAAGCACAAGATTATCCTTTTCTCTAGCTACTAAATACAATATCATACATATACCTGCTAGGACTCAAATATTTGTTCAATGATGACTCATTATGTTGACCAAGTATGGTTTTACATTCTTTTTCTCCCATCTCATTATATTTCTATAAAGTTAGTTTTGTGTTTCAGCTTTGGTAATCAGAACTTTACCAGCTTATGTGTAGTTGAGATTATTTGCAAAGGACATCAAGTGACCTGTGAATTCTGAGAAGTTTCTGATGTAAACTTTTCAGTTACTCAAAAGAAATGGATGTCTGACAAATAGCACAATTGTTTTATTTCCATAGAGCAATGTAGGAAAATTATCTGCACATAAAATATTTTCCATCTTTAATAAGAAAGAAGCAGTAGAAATCTAATCTAACTTGGTTAAAGTGATGCATTTCTATAAGCAGTTGTGAATTGAATTGAATTTTATATTGAAGAGGTGACCATTGCTAATATATTCATTTTGGATAACTAAATTGACTTGTTTATTTTTTGTTTTTATTCTATTTTTCCTTTAGACATTTCACAAATATCATCATGATTAAAATTCCAGAAAAAGATTTAAAAAATAAAAGCTCACCCACAATCCTTTTGCTGACTCACAAAATCTCTTATTCTCCTTGTTCCTTCCTGATTCTTTCTCCGTACATGTGTGTAATTGTAAAATTTGTCTTTTATTCACAAAAGTTCAGGTTAACGAAGTACTCCATCATGTATGTTTTATTTAAATAGGTGTACCTTGTTTTGTTAACTATCAGCCGTGTTCCTAAAGTTGAATATGACGTGTTGTTCCTGTTTTCACATGATCTTGAATCAGAGAATTTCAATGGGTCATTTCCTAGCACTTTTCAGGTGTCAGTCTTCTCTAGTTCTTGATCTTTGAACATGTCTGTTTGTATAAAAAACACTTAAATGTTACAGAATTTAACACATAATAAATACCCCTGTCCCTCCTCCCTCAGTTGACCTACATGGAACTTCTACTTTTCATTTCTTGATTATTTTTAAGCAGAACGCTTCCCTACTTATCTTCTAGATATGTTATATGAGGAGTAGCTATATAAGGGTTAGCTGAGGTGGGCATAGTGGCCCACTTGTGTAATCTAAGCACCCTAAGATTCACAGGCAGGAAGCCCACAAGTTCAAGCTCAGCCTGGATAACTTAGGGAGAACCTGTCTCAGAATTAAATAAATAAAAATTGGGTGGGGATGTAGCTTAGTGTGAAGGCCCTAGTTCAGTCCCTAGTACCACACACAGAAAAAATTAGCTAGTATCTTGTACTAGCTTGGTATGTATGTGATTTATGAAAGTATTGATGGATTTTTACTTTGGAAGCGTGAGTTACAGTATTGGCAAAATTGACTATATCATCTGTATTTGCAAATTTTTCAACAAGTGTTTGTTAAATGCCATGCTTTGACCTTCTGTCAGATGGTGTAGAAAGAATTGAAGATGAATAAAAGTTTGTTTTTATCTCAGTGGGACTTTTTCATCTGTTTTCAGTTTTCTTTAGGATTTTTCATTATATTCCTTGAATTATCTGCTTTCAATATTGAGAACTTTCACTTATATGTAAATAATGTTCAGAAATTTAGTTTTAGTTACTAGGTTTCACATGAAACCGGTTTATTCACATTTCAGAAATGTCTCTTATGAGCAACAAGTCATATAGTTTTATTATTTTTTCAGTTTTTATTTTTATTAGTATAATTGCTAATGCTAGCTATAAATTAAGGTTAAGAAATATTCCAGAGTTTCACTTCTTAAGTGAAAATGCCAAGCTGTGATCTTAAGAGTTTAGGATGATGAATATAATGAAGTTGAAGGAAATAGTATTCAAGGTGAATAAGATCCTTGTGCAAAATGCAGTACATGAAATAAAAGCAAACATAATTTTTTACTTCTAAAATTGTATTGCCTGATGAACAGCATATACTGTATTCCCTATTCTTCAGTTATTTCCTAGTTAGCTAAATCACATATCTCTGTAGACACTGCCATGTGAAGCTTTTTAATTTTTACATTTCTTTTGCAAATAGGTTGTACATATTTATTGAAATTAAATCAGAAATAGATACTAGCAGTATATCATGAAATGCATAGTAGTAAAAACAAATCATTACCCTAATGTAATTACCATTAATCATTTGTTATATTTTTACATTAGACCTTTCTACTGTAATATATGTGTGCTTTATATACTGTATACTTTTCTTTCTTCCTGCAATCCATGTTTTGTTTTATAATCTGATTTTCAGTGTTCGATTGTTTGAGCCTATAGTTGATTGGGAGTGGGACTTTTGGTCTTTATTGTTCCCTCTATTTAAAAAAGAACATATACTTGGGATGGACTTTGGGTCATTTAGAAATTTCAAATAAATATAAGCATGTATATTTTAGTATCAGTTCCTAATTAAAGCATAATCAAACAGCAGCTTTAGTTCAAAAAATATAAACATGCTTGAAGAGAATTTTTTATCTAGTAAGTCATATCTGCTGCATACTAATTTTTTTAATATTTAAAATTTATTTAAAAACATCTTTAAAGCTTTCAGAATAATCTTCTGTAGTTGTCCTTTTTGTATCTTTCATTTTTTCTTGTATTTTAAAATTGGTGAAGATGCTGCCTGCATCTCTTTTTCTGCTCCATCTACCCCAGGTACATACTAATTGTTTAGAATGAAAAGAGTAGTTCACACAATAGGTAAAGCTGTAGAATACATAATGATCACAGAGACCATATTTATGTAATTCCATTCCTTGAACAATCCCTAGCATTTAGTGAGGCCTAAAATATCTGAGCTGAATGAATGATTAAAGAGAACTTAGTGAGGCAGTTCATTTCCTTCCTTGTGGTAAAGACTAAATTAGCCTTCTCTTGAAATGTAGTTCTATCAACATATCCTGAAAACTGTAGTAAGTGAATAAAAATGACTTTTTTTTTGTTCCAGGAATTGAACACAGGACCTTGTGCTTTCCAGGCAGGCAGCAGCACCACTGAGCTAAATCCCCGGCCCAAAAAATGACTTTTAATCACCCAGGGATATTCCTTTCCTTCTAGACAAGGCATTTATTGGAATCTTGTGAGTGAGTGCCAGGAAATCTGTGACTTTGTCTTAATAAAATCTCATTCTTATTGCTTGGAGCTATACTTCTATCAACAAGTTTTTTTTTAAAAGTACAGCTGCCTTACTTTTGTCTCCAAACAGGTAGCTCAAAGAGGGGTGGTGGCCCTAGGTCAGCTTCTGACTCCTTCTTTCTCTTGCTCAGGTTGCCTTCTTCAGAATGATGCCCTGCAGAGCAGTGCTCACTTTTGCCCGATGTCTGATCCGGAGAAAAATCGTCACTATGGACAGTCTAGAAGATTCCAAACTGTGCCGCTGCTTAACCACCATGGACCTCATTGCCCTGGGGGTTGGCAGCACTCTGGGTGCTGGGGTTTACGTCCTTGCTGGGGAAGTTGCCAAAGCGGATTCTGGCCCCAGTATTGTTGTGTCCTTCCTCATTGCTGCCCTAGCATCCGTGATGGCTGGCCTTTGCTATGCTGAGTTTGGAGCCCGAGTTCCCAAGACTGGGTCTGCCTATTTGTACACTTACGTTACTGTCGGTGAGCTGTGGGCCTTCATCACTGGCTGGAATCTCATTTTATCTTATGTCATAGGTACGTTTCAAAAACAAATCTCAGGTGTGTAAAAACAGCACTCCTCAGTGTTCAGTTGTAGTCTACATTCCTTAGCTTCTGGGTGATTATGAATGGATTGCTTGCTCTTCATTTTTCTCATCTCTAAAATGTCTTTTTTTAATTGCACATAAATTCTGGGTTTCTGGTTCATCTCTAAGTATGCCTCTTTTTTAATATGCCTCTTAATGGGGTTGAAATTCCTATTTTTTAATAATAATTTTTCATTGCTAATGAAATTATTACCTGTTTCTTTACTTATGAACTTGGGCATTTCATTACTATTATTATAAAATTAGTGATATAATTTTATAATGTGATTAAAATTTCAATGAATATGAACTAGGCCATGATAATCTGGAATAGAATAGAAAATGGTGTTACGTTAATTTTCTGCCAGTGATCTATTCTCTGTATGTCCTGTGTTTTGGGAAGGTACATCAAGTGTTGCAAGAGCATGGAGTGGCACCTTTGATGAACTGCTTAACAAACAGATTGGTCAGTTTTTGAAGACATACTTCAAAATGAATTATACTGGCCTTGCGGAGTATCCAGACTTTTTTGCTGTATGTCTTATATTACTTCTGGCAGGTAAGAAAATTATTACTATATACCTTTCTGTGTAATAAACCAAATTAATTAACCAGAATAGTAGGTTCTGGAACATGAGTTCTCCAGACTAACTCAGCAGATTCTTACACTTAAGTTACTGTTGGATGTCTGTGGGCTTCATCACTGGCTGGAATCACATTTTATCTTACATGATAGGTGTGTTTCAAAAAATAAGTCTAAATTGTGTGGAGTGGAAGAAATGGCACTGAGTCAGAGGCACCTGGAATGGACTAAATAATAGGATGATGAAATCAGTTTTGCAACTGATTGGAGGTTTCCAAGAATGGCAATGAAGATTTAATAAGGAGGAGTACATAATTTCATGGCATTGTTTAATCTTGTTAGATACAACTAAATATATTTATAACCATACTGTTTCTAGAAGAAATTCTGGGGTTTTTACCATGATTTCATCTATATGACAAAGGCAAAGGAAACATACAGATCATCTGTCATTTTAGTGCAGACATGGTGCAGACACACATACTTGGTACTGGAACTTTTCCATGTTCATCAGTATTGTAGCACAGCAGTTAGAAAGGAATATGAATTAGAGTAGGGACAACCAGATTTTCAGTTTTGCTGTGCTAGTTAACTCCTCTTGGAACTTAAATAATGTACTTAGTCTTTCCATCACTGTTTGTTCATCCGTAAGATGAGTACATCGTTTTGCTTGGTACACAATCATCACCCTGATGATAGTGGGTTTTTATCTTGTAAGCATGACTAATCTCTGCTGTGCTCTTTTATTTGTTTTAATTATTTGAACTCCTTCTATTTTGAATTCATTCCCATCTGCAGACCTGTTTAAAAACCCTTTGAGGGTAGCACTAATCATAAAATCTGTATTTCTCCCCACTTTCTATTTGATTTTCCCTGAATAATCTGTCCCTTGCTTTCCTATCTGGATGGCCTTGTTTCCTCCCTGGGCTACAAGGATGTGACAGAAATATTGTTCTATTATGAAATGCTTTCCTATAAATTATAGTTTTAAAAATAGCTCTCCTCTTTACAAAGTTAGTCATTAAATGTACTATATAGGATAGGAACATAAACAAAACTTTCAGGTCTAAAACATTTTGCATTTTCCTTCTAATATCAAGAAAAATCACATCCATTGTTTTTCATCAAATTTTTGTTTATCTTGGCTTCTAAATAATCTAGCTACCACTAATTATAGTTTTTTATTTAAGTGTGATTTCAGTAAACAAAATATTTAGCTGTACTCCCTCAAGGCTGAGAAGTATGTAACTGATATATGTAGTTAGAACTCTTAATTCCATGGCAGGCCTAAATTTAAGACATTACCCTGCCTCACTTCTCCTCTGTTCATTCACCATATTTTTTCTTGAAATATAGTCTAAGCCTACATTATCACTGTTACTAGAATCTTTGAGGATCAAAACTCCATTATAAATCTTTATTATAATACCAAATGTCAACTGAAACTGTTAAACGTAATTTTGTTTGTTCATTAAAGAGACAAGGGAAGAATATGCAGTATTCAGTTGCGATATTTATGATGTCTAAACTATGGTTTGGTGGAAGATGAGGCTGGAGAGTAGATATATTATATCCCCAGCACTCCACATGGATGTTGAGGGACTAATATAAAATGTGGTGGTGGATTTGTTCTTCTCTGATGTCTATAGGAGTGGTTCCTAACCTAACGGACAATTATCTGAGTAATTGTGCTAACTCTCCAGCTTTCCTTTGTATCATTAATATAGTTTGTTATTATATGATTCTGGGAATTATACAACTACAAGAGTTAAATTTAACTTTTCTCAGATTTTATGAACAAAACCTCAGTTACCCGTGAACTAGCACAAACAATCAACAA